CTGGACTACCCCACCCCCCCGCCGTGTTGGTCCAGTGCTCCTACCTAACTATAAAATTCCTAAACCCTAGCACTAATCATAATCCTAGAGTGAACATCAACTATAACCCCAACAATAAACCTAGTCCTAAACATAACCCTAACTTAAAGCCTACACCTAACACTACTTTGAAGAAGGCGTACCTTTTGGTTTTAAAAACTTTTCTAAACTGCCGAATAAATTTGAATCCTACCGGCCGGTACACCTGAATTAAAGGTTTTCAAGCTGTATGCTGGATACATTGTGTGTAAGTAAATGTGCATACTTCACTACGGGATAAGAAAGAGCTCACAGAGTACTCATAGAATTTTACAATGGAAGTGGATTCTGCTGTATACATTAATCAATTGACGGATACAATGTATTAAGTTCATGATAAGTTCTCATAATAAAGACTTTTTTAAAGGCCGAAATATATCCTTTATTCAAGTGTACGGTTTGAAGAACGCGTAAATGTCTACCAAATAAATACAAGGAAGAATATTTTTGTGCATACTTTCTATAAATTATATTTGAATTTATAAGGGCAGTGAAAATGAATGTGAAGATGCATATTATCTGGGTAAATATTTTTTGCAGAATATACTTTTTAGGGGTTGTCAGGAAGAAGCTTGTTCAAAAACTGGCATTCTGATGTAGCTCAATTGTTTTAGGATAAAGCTGTAAAATAATCAGGATTACCACCATTTGTTCGAATCGAAAGAAAATTCAGAATTTAGGTTGACGTTGCATGAGATGGGCAGTCTACTGCAAGATAGCCGTACTGAAGATTATCAGCTTGCAACGATCGTACTAGCGGAACTTACCCAGATGTCGTACTCGGGGAAGCAGTGATCCACGGCGAGGTACTCGATGAAGGTAGCGAAGCCCTCATTTAGCCATAGATGCGTCCACCACTCCATTGTCACCAGATTGCCGAACCACATGTGGGCCAGTTCATGGGAGACGGTGCGAGCCACGTTACGCTTGGACTGCAGTGACGACTTTGCTGCATCAATAAGCAGCGACGTCTCGCTAGTAAAAAAGGAGGGGGGGGGGCATGGAAATTAAAAGATTAGCTGGTTGGAGTCGATGTTTGGCGGTGCAACACGAAACACCAGATCTGAGGAGAACATGATGACGAGTTGTCAAATCGGTGGGTGATTGGAAAGCCGATGCAAATGACCCATTGGGCGACAGACAGGTAAACTAACAAACCAGTAACAGCTTCAAGTTTGCAAAAGTGCTAGTATTGGGACAGAACTCTGAGAACCTAATATTGCTCGCCGAAACGGGCGAGGTACCTCAAGAGCAGAAAGACTGAGGCATAATTATCAGATGCCAACTCCGTCAACAGGCATCTAGACCGCCCCGCGGCCTACAAAGTCCTGCGTCATTACGTGAATGAAAGCCAGGACAAGGTCACACAGAACTTAAGAGGTGCGAGCGACGACGGCCCCGCGAGGAAGTTACCGGAAAGGGAAGCACGATTACCTGGACCCTTCATCTTGGGAACGAAGCGCAACGCTAATGGCCGTCAAACTACGCAAACATCCATACGAGGGCCGAGGCAGCGAATGAAAAAAAATCGACCAGCTCAAGGCCAACAAATTCAGACGGATATTCAAATGGCTGAATGATACAGGCAGTAGACGCTTTCAGACTCGACCCAGCTCTCCGATGCGTCAACAAGAGAAAAAACCTGTTCCGCTGAGCAGTATTATGTCCTCAGATTTCCATCTCGGAAATTCCCGTTTTGCGAGCTAGAAAATCACTTGGGTGGTCAGAAACCCAGCAAGTTGTGACATTATGCGCAGTCTACGCAGAAGAACGTCAGTCAGCTCGGCACGACACTTTTACTCGAACACAATGTTTTTCCCTTCCATTGCCAGTACTACTAGAGCCAGTTTCTAAATACATTAAAAGAAAGGAAAAAACAACTTTTTGCAATAGCACTTCCCATAGGCCTCGCGCCTGCTCTTTTTATCCATGAGGGACTGGCCCCACCTTCGAACATCTTAGGCCGGGTCACCTAAAAAGCGGAACAACTGACGCTCGAGGCATGGCATTCGGACGCAAACGCTGTCAACAGGCATCTAGACCTTCCTGCAGCTTACAAAGTCTTGTGCCACTATGTGAATAGAGACCAGGACAAGGTCACAAAAATTTTAAAAATGAAAGCAAAGACGGTCCCACGAC